TAACATGCTCTGCTTTCCCCCAACATCCTCTCTTCACTGCTATTCTTTTTTATGCCTCTGCTCAGCCCAGCCTTTTCCAGTGGGGGTACCCCTCCCGCTGTTTGCTACCAGAGTCCTTATAGCCTCAGCAACAGGTTAGTGGGTGCAAGCAAGCCTGTCACAGTTATGTATGTGGAACCCAGGCAAGGGTTCAAAGGAGGATACTATATTAAATGTCTATATGGTTAATATAGAACCGTTACAGAAAGTATGCTCTATTATCTTACCTGAAAAACTTTCCCTTTAAAAAGGCAAAATGGTGTCAAAGTTTGCAAAGCTATGTTTTAATGAGCATCAGCAAAATATTAAAGAGATGAATGAATATAATTTTTATTACATGTATCTGCAAAGCCCAGTGATAGGCTGCTGCAGGTGTTTGGATTAGTAATGAAATAAAACTTGTGTAGTTTAGAAATTATGTATTTACTTATATAATTTACTATAGTCATTTCAGCAAAATAATTTAACTATGGTGTTATCATATTTTTTTTTGAAATAGAGTGTCTCTTGTAGCCCAAGCTAGCCTCCAACTCACTATGTGGCTCACATTGGTCTGAAACTCATGGCAATACTCCTGCCTCAGCCTCCTAAAGGTTGGGATTATAAGCATGGGCTGTCATACCCAGCTGTAATAAAAATTATATAAGTAGTATACTGTTAAAAATAGTTCAAAATTAAATAACTTTCCTAGTTAGTATAGTTCTTGGCATTTTAATTTTTATTATTTATTTCAGGGATTGAACCCAGGGCCTCATGTATGGTAAGCAACTGCTCTACCACTGAGCTGTACCACTAACTCCAGCTCTTGGTATTTTTAAACATCTTAGAGAAACTTTGCTCTTTTAAGGCTGCAATTATCAAGAAAGTTCCTTAAGTAATATATACCTTTTAAAATGAAATATTGGAGCTTTCTATCTGGCATGTAAAGAACTTAGAAGTTGTCATTGTAACCTAACAACAAGTAAAAAGTTGAACAAATTAAAAATCAACAACTCCTTTTAGATCTTTCAGAGAGCTAAGGTCCCAGGCCAAAACACTGCTACCCCAAGGAGGACATGTATATGGATAGAGAGGAGGACAACTTACCAAAGCAGAAACCCATCAGCCAAATCCTCTGGGGGAACTGGCACTGGGAAGCAAAACCAGAGCTGTCAGCACTGAGTTGCTAATGGTTCATATGGACAAGTCTAAGAAGTGAAAATTCCAAGGTGCCTGGTCCTTGGGGGACCACCCACATTTCTGTGAGTTTAATTTTCAAGAGCTCCTCCAGTGTCTTCCACTGAGAGTCAGAGAAAAATCCCCTCCTACATCCAGAAAGGAGCAGGGAGGAATAACCACTTTAGCAGGGAGGAAGTAATCATTTTGAAATATAAAAGCCACAGCTTGGATCCCAAAGGTCCATGTATTCAAGGCTTGGTCCTGAAAGTTGTCTTCTGACTTCCACTTGCTCTCCATGGCATGCATTCTCTGTCTCTCTCTGTCTCTCTCTGTCTCTCTCTCCTCTCTCTCTGTCTCTCTCTCTCTCTCTCTCTCTCTCCTTTCTCTCTCTCTCTCTCTCTCTCTCTCTCTCTCTCTCTCTCTCTCTCTCTTACCTATAAGTACACAGTGCTTTAAAAAGTAAAAGGCAGGGTCTATTGGGAGGTCTTACTGACCACTAAGGATGTGGGGTTGTGCCCACAGGAAGGACAGTGGAAATCTAGTCTCTTCCTCTCTTTGCTTCCTGGCTCCCTTGAAGTGAACAGCTATCTTCACCACACTTTGCAGCCATGATGTCTCATCTTGCTACAGGCCCAAAAGCATCAGGGCCAAGTGACCATGAACTGAAAGCCAACTAACACAATGCCAGAACATTGTTTTTCTTACTAAAACCTGCCCTCAAGAGTAACTTAGAGCCTAATCTTTTGGGATTTTCTCAGAACTCAATCAACTGGGGGAAGTAAAATATTCAACAAAAACTTATAAAAACAAAAAGAGGTAAACAAGGAAACACAATATCCCAAAACTGGTTCAGCTACCAAAGTATCATGAATGTGATGGGAATAGCAGAAGGAGCAGCAAGATAAAAAGAAGCAAAAGGAATATTCAATACCACAATGATTGGGGCTTTCTACCAAATTAATATCATGCATCAGTAATGTCAAGATTAACTCAGTGAAATCTCTTCCAGAAGACAGAAACAGAGGGAATATTTTCTATCTCATTTTATGAAAGTATCATTGCTCCAATTCCAAACAGACAAAAATATTACAAGAACCCTACAGAACAGTATCTCTCATGAACACAGACTTACATACAGTGCCTTAACAGAAATTACCAAATATAATCCAACAGTGTATAAAAATAATTGTAGGGAGCTGAGAGATAGCTCAGTGGTTAAGAGCTTTTGTAGAGGACCTGAGATTGGTTTCTAGCACCCATGTCAGGTGACTCACAACTGCCTGTAACTGCAGTTCTACGGGTTTTGGCACCTTCTTCTGTCCTCCATGGGCACTTCATGAATGTGCACTGCAAGCAGGCATATACACATACCCATAAGTAAAATTTTTAATTAAAAAATAAAAATAAATCTTTAAAAATGATTGTACATCACAAGCAAGATTTATCCCATGGCTCAACATTTTAGATTCAATATATACAGATTATCACACCAGTAGACTAAAGAAGAGAAGTCACATGATCACCTCACTGGATACAGAAAAGGTATTGACAAAATCTGACTCTTAGCAAACTAGGACAGGAAAACTTCAACTTGCTAAAACACATCTATAACGAATATACAGTTAATGGGGCTGGAGAGATGGCTCAGCAGTTAACAGCACTGGCTGCTCTTACAGAGGACCTGGGTTCAATTCCCACCATTCACATGGCGGCTAACAATTGCCCACAACTCTCTAGTTCCAGGGGATCTGATACCCTCTTCTGACCTCCTCGGGCATTGCACAACATGGGTGCAATTATACACATTCAGTTATCATCCTTAATGGAGAGAAACTTAATTATACAGAAATAGGTAAGACTTACCTCTGACTTCTCAGAAACAATGAAAAAAGAATGCGGAGCATATTTAAAGTGTTGATGCGGGGGGGGGGGGGGGGAATCTACCTACACAAAATTTGCCTTGCCAAATTATCCTTCAAATTAGAAGTGAAAGTTGGCTCCTACTTTGGGTGACCACTATCACACAGCATCAGATCAGAGGAACAGGAAGAAACTGAGAAGGAAATAAAGGAGTAAAACTACCACAGTTAGAAAGTTCTGTATATTGCTGATGATGAAACTAAGGCAAAGAGGGTCTGAGCACTTTGCTCATATTCCCATAGATAGCAGGTACTGGAACTAGGCTTTGGATCCAGAGATTTTGAACGCTCAAGTCTGTGCTCTTTAATTCATGCCATTGAAATAAACTTTTTGTATTGAAAGATGAAGGATGATACTGACAACTGCCAAAATGTTCCAAATCCATTTTCTCTGTCCCAAATCATTTTAGTATATCAGTGCTCACTATATAATTAAATGCAATTAAAGATAAAAAAAATAGGCTGTACTTCTGTATAAATAAATACAGCATTTCCTTTTCAAACCATGTAGTATGTGCTTATGAATTTCAAATGTATCACAGTAAAATGTCATTGTCTGGTTCAGGTATTCTAGCCTGATCAGAAAAACGTTCATTAAACTTGTAACACTTAAGGAGAAATACACACTTTTTCCTTCTGCATTTTGAGTAAGGCGCTCATTGTATGTCCAGGCTGAACTTCAATTTGCTCTGTAGCACAGTCTGGCCTTGAACTTGAGAGCCTCCTGTCTCAGCCTTTAAAGAACTGGAATTAATTACATGCCACCATACATAGCTAAGAAATATTCTATGTAAAAACTTGGAAATTTTGGGAGAAATATTTTTCCCATGTAGAAAGTTAATTCTCTTCTTCTTCTTCTTTTTTTTTTTTTTTTCGGTCTTTTTGAAGCAGGGTCTCCCTGTGGCCCCAGCTGTCCTGGAACTCACTATGTAGACCAGGCTGGCCTTGAACTCACAGAGAGCCGCCTGCCTCTGCCTCCTAAGTTCTGGGACTACAGACATACACCACCATGCCTGGCTAGAAAGTTAACTTTCTACATAGAAACATCCTATGTAGAAACACATTCTGCAATACATAAATTGTTCAGCTTTTAATGATGTGAAGATTTCTTCAACACTACCTCATCCTTCACAGATATCCTATGCTTTTGATAAAGGTAGGAAGGAATTCTTTCCAAATTCATTCCCATTTTGATGTTTGGCAGATCTCAAAACTCTTTCTTCTGGTCATTCTGCGGTGTCCTTTATCCCAGGTACTAAAATGTGCCATTTTTTTCTGCAGCACAACGATTTATCTAATAATACTCTCCATTTAAAAGACTTCACAGGCTGGGGATATTGCTCACATTAGTAGGCATGTTACTACTAGTGTGCACAAGGCTCTGTGTTCCATGCCTATTACAAACAAAACATAAAAGGCACTTTGCTTTTGTCAAAGCATTTCTACAAGCTCATTTCTACCTCATACCAGAGTCCTACATATTAGATTTAAATGAATGTAAATTATTCAAAAATGAGTAAACATCATTGGATCCATTTATCACGTCTACATAGTGAAGAATCTAAGCCTCTCCCAGTTAGGTAAATTATCTGTGGTGATGTGTGGCAAACCTGGGTTGACTTCTAATACAGTTCAAGTTTCTGTGAGCGTTTTGCAATAAAACTGTAGAACCCACCAGAGGCTGGAATTCCACGGGCACCTGCCGCCCAAGATGGTGACCAGAGTCTCCGAGTTGACAGGGTTTTTTAAGGAAAGTTATCCAGGAAGTTGTGAACTCCAATCACTTGGGCAACTGACTACAGAGTAAGGAGAGACCCCATTTAATGAACCGAGAAGGTTCCAGAAACCCAATGGAAAGTGCATTCTAAAGAGGAATTACGTTTGAGGACCATCCAGAGCTTCTAGAAGAGTTTGAGGGTGGCCTTCTCCGGCGCCTCTAGCGGGATCCGGCACCACCCTGAGCTTGGGTTGCGGTGACCGACGGCAAGGAGGCCCAGGCCCGCTCAGGCCAGGCTTAGCCACGGCTGGCGGCGCGGACGGGCTGGGCGGGGCGGCGGGCCAGTACCGCCGCACGAGCCCGGACCTGCCTGCTCGACCTGGCGGCGCAGTCTCGCGGGATCGCTCACCTCTCGCTCTCGGTGCGGCCCGGCGGCGGCTCGAGGCCCGGACGCTGCCCCAGGCCGTCGGAGGTGGCGGGAGCCACGGCGCAGCGGAGGGAGAATAGCGAGCGCCCGAGGTGAGGCGACCCCGGCCCGACCAGGCGGGCGGCGGCTGCGGGGTGGGTCCCCGGCACTAGCCGGAGCCGCAGGTGCGGGAGAGGCGCAGGCCAGGCGGGCCTTGGGCGCGGGATTGGGTCTCCTGCTGGAGCCGCAGGTGCCTCGGAGTTGCGGGCCGGCCGCGCGGGCCAAAGTCTCCTCGGAGTTCGGTGCAACTCCTGGACGAGGCTCGCCGGTCCCCGCGGTGCCCTGCAGGCCCGGGACGCTGCAAGCCGGCAACAGGTGGCCGGCGTGGGACACCGCAAAACCCGGCACCCGGGTGGGAGCTGCTGATGGAAGGTTTGAGCTGTGTAGAACAGAGGGGCATGGGATGAGCGAGCTGAAGAAGAGGGGAGGGAAGTGCCGATGGTGAAGAATAAGTAAAAAGAAATTATCATTGTAGAATCGCCATCCCGGGTGTGGGCCGGTTCCCTAGAGGACCTCTGTCACCCTCGAGAGGCAGGTTTGTCCATTTTTTTTCTTTCCCCCCTTTGGACTGCATCACTACTTACCCTACCCCACCCCCAGCCCGTGGGAACTACAGTTTTGTTCCTCAGCAGAAAGAATCCTGTAAGTCTCCCTCTAGCTTGACTTTTGAAAAAACTGGACAAGTTTTTTTTTTCTCTCTGAAAATTGCTGTTTTAGAGATTCTGTAGACCTGGGTCTTAAGGAATTCCCTATTTTAGAGGTCTGTAGGACCTGCGTCTTAATCCCTTGAATCCAATTTTCGTCCATGTAGTGAGATTTCCAAGAGACTCTTGAGTTTTATGCTTTTATTAATCCCTTTAAACTTAGTTGTAACTACCCACATCCCTCTCTTCACCCCTCATTCATCCTGTGCCTTTTTTTTTTTTTTTTTTTTTTTTTTTTGTTAAACCCAGTGTTTCATACTGTATAAACCTTGGATCTGCAGTTCCATAGAGAGATGAGACTTCTTAGCTTAAAAAAAAAAAAAAATGTATATTCCATGGCAAGGCAGGTGGAAAAGTATCTTGTTAATTTGGAATTTTCCATCATTTTTTCCAATGTTAGTTACCTAGAATGAAATCTGAATTAAATTTGACTGTGTGACAAATGTTGCTGATAACAAACTCTGGGTTGTTTTTACAGCAATTGACCCAGAACTCATTTTCAGAAATAACAGCTTCCTTCAAAATGGTAAAATAGTGAAATGAGGAATTTGAAAATTTTATCTCTGGATGAGAATTTTATGATGATGATGATGATGAATGGAGTTTAAGATTAATCCAAGCTATGTGGTAAAATCAGGAATTTGAAGAAAATGGAAATGTTCCCGTTTTTGTTGATGTGTGGTTTTCTACCCCTTGTAAGGGGACACAGTCTCTTCACTTGTGAACCAATTACTGTTCCCAGATGTATGAAAATGGCCTACAACATGACATTTTTCCCTAATCTCATGGGTCATTATGACCAGGGGATTGCTGCTGTGGAAGTGGAGGTGAGTAGTTCTTCCTGCTTTTATTGGAAATTAGTCTGTGCTTTGTTCACATAAACTGTGACTTTTATCTTTAAGCATAAAAGGATTTCTTCATGTTTTGTACACATCATGTTCTGAAAAATCCTTTTGAAAACTAAATCCCCCTACTGGCTTATATTTGGTCCATATTTGGGTCCTCTTTAGTTAATTTGCTTAATAAAGAGTTTCATTTATTATAAAGCATGGTTACAGATGATTTCTAACTATCCTATACCCAGCAAATATTTTGCTTTTCTGAATTAAGCGTGGTTGCTTCTCTAGAAAGGTGAATTATGAATTGTTTTTTCTGATTGCCTGAACATGTCATCTGTATGCTTGTACTAAAATCGAAAAAACTTAGATGATTTTTAAGTAGTTGTAAAGTTCATTTGGCTTAGTTTTTCTAAAACAAATTACTGGAGTATGTTGGTGCTAAAGTTAGTGTTTTACTAGTAAGTAACTGGTTTTTATGCATAGCACTTGGGTGTTCTTTATAAGATATTTGTTAAAAGAAACCCCACAGTGACTGGTGAGGAGCTGGGTGACACTAAAGATTGCCTCAGGTGCCTCAGTTAACCTGTCTCTGGTTTAGAGATATGCAGATGGCTAGGGAAGTATGGGAAGAAAGAGCTACCTGTAGAAACAGGAAACTGCCCTGCCACGATCTGTTAAGTTGATAAGTTTTGTGAAGGAAAAAAAGGCAGATGTGTTGTTTTCTAGTCTTTCTAGAAAAACTGAGGGCTGTAAAGAAAATCTTAGGTTGTCTGTAAGAAATGAAACCCCTAGAAATCTAATAGAGATAGTTGTGACTTTGAATGTTTTCCGTTGTTCATTTGAACAATTGCCTGACTGACTACCTCATTTTAGGCATATGTCTAGGATAGGAAAGTTTTAAAATGCTAAGATATAAGGGCTGGAGAGGTGGCTCAGCGGTTAAGAGTACAGCACTGACTGCTCTTGCAGAGGACCCGGGTTCAATTCCCATCACCCACATGGCAGCTAACAACCATCTGTAATTCTAGTTCCAAGGAATCTGACTCCTTTTTCTCATCTCCTTGGGGACTGCACAACACAGGTATACACATGCAGGCAATACACTCATACACATAAAATAAAAATAATAAATATTTTAAAATGCTAAGATATAATTTAAAAAGACTTATAAATTATGTTATTGTGATCTTTCAGTGGCTTTTCAAACCGGTGCACAATCTCCTTTTTTATTGGATAGGGAGGGGTTCTGAAGACCAAACCCAGGGCCTCTCAGATGCTAGGCAAGTGCTCTCCTACTCACCTGCATCCCTAACCCTGTAAGGTATGCATTTGAACACAAAACAAATGATGCAGTGAGACTTTCAGTGACTAATCTGAACCATAAAGTATGTAGTGGCAATACCATCAAGCAATACTTACAGCATTCAATCTCATTTTTTATGGCAATTTATGTTTTATGTCATTTTTCAGTAAGTGTTCTTAAAGCTTTTTATCTTAATCTGGTTTCCTTTCTATGTAGTAGCTTTGTACATTTCAAGTATCAATGCTAACAGTGACCTTATAACTTCATTACATTTGTTTTATTTTATTTTATTTTTTTTTTTAATCTTTTTTTGGGACAGGGTCTCCCTGTAGCCCCAGCTGTCCTGGAACACACTATGTAGACCAGGCTGGCCTTGAACTCACAGAGATCCGCCTGCCACTGCCTCCCAAGTGCTGGGACTACAGGTATGCACCACCATGCTCGATTGCAAATAAATTTTTTTTTAAAAGATGGGGAGAGAAGCATCCCTGATAATTGAAAAGCTTTTAAGACAGTAATAACTGATTGCTGTTATGTGCATATCTTTCTAAAGCCAGTTGCTTATTTTTGTCTTAAAAGGGTTTTGAGTTTTTTGTTTTGTTGGGGTTTTTTGTTTGTTTGTTTGGGTTTTGGTTTTTTGAGACAATATCTCACTATATAACCCTGGCTGGCCTGGAACTTGCTATATAGACCAGGCTAGCCTCAAATTCACAGATATCTGCCTGCCTCTGCCTCCTGAGTGCTAGGATTAAAGATGTGCACCATCACACCAGCCTAAAAAATTATTTTTTTATTTGCCTAGATTCTTTCCCAGGTAATTTTGTGTCTGGACAGTATCAAGGTTTTTTGTTTGTTTGTTTGTTTGTTTTTAATCTTTATTTGGTTGCTGACATTAGCCTCTCTATGATCTTCACATACTAAGTACTCATAACTTTTGGTTCCTACTGATTTCCTCTTGGTGTTAAAGGGCTGAAGAGTTGCCTGGTGGTTATTATGGCAACCAATTGTTTCTTCTTTCTTTCCCTGGCCTTTAAAAAACCAACACCAAAAACATCAAAAAAACATTTTTTTTTTTTGACATGGGATCTTGCTAAGTTGCCCAGGCTTACCTTGAACTGTCTCTATAGCCTTAAACTTAAATCCTCCTGCCTCAGCCTCCCCAGTAGCAGGGATTTAGAAGCCTGTGTCCCAGGCTAGGCTTTTTCTTTTTTTAATAAACAAGGTCTTCTTGTATTTCCCAGGCTGGCCTGAAACTTAGTCCATGCAGCCTTAAATTCATGATCCTCTTGCCTCCATGTTCTGAATGCTGGGATTATAGGCCCTCACCACCATGCCTGACTTAAATGTACTTTCTTAGCTGCCAAGAATTCCATGTAAGTCAAGAGATCTATCTTATTTCTCTCTTTTAAAAGAAATTAATTAATTATCATTATTGTGTGTGTGTGCAGGGGTGCATGCCCCAGTACACATGTGGACAGAGGACAACTTTTGGGAATTGGTTCTCTCCTTCTGTGATGGGTTTTGGTGCTCTAGTTGAGGATGTCAGGCTTACAGAGCAACTACTTATACTCACTGAGCTATCTCCTGGCTCTTATTTCTTGTTATGCCACAGTCTTTATTTTGTGCCAGCTAGCCTCTTGGAGTTTAGGCATTTGGGGACATCGCTGGTCTATGATTAAATGAGATAGAGCAATGGTTCTCAAAGTTTAGTTAGAAGCCTAGCAGCTTCTGAGCATGTCAGCAGCCATGATTTCTGAAGACAGAGCACAAGAAATTGTTTTAACAAGCTGTCCTTGATCTGTTACAATTATTAAAGCTTAAGACCCACTGGTTAAACTGTGTCTGTGAAGAGCCACATATTTTTGGCTTTATAGAACATGTAGTTTCATCACAGCTATTCACCTTTGCAGTCATGGCAAGAAAACTATCACAGTCAGTATATGAACAAATGAGTCTGGCTATGTTTCAGTAGGCAGTGGGCAGGCCTGTAAACGGTACTTTGTTAAACCTTAAGTCCTTGAAAATGTTTGAAGGACAGTATATCATGGAATAAATAAACATTATTATGAGTTCTTACTAACATTACCTGGGTTATAATTTATTTTCTATGTGAATTATTTTGGGGATGTGCGTGTGTGCGTGTGTGTGTGTGTGTGTGTGTGTGTGTGTGTGTGTATGTGTATGTGTGTGTGCGTATGTGTGCATGTGAGCGTGTGGATGCATGTGTCCCTGAGTGAGAAGGCGGAAGTCAGAGGAGTTCCTTTATTTCTCTCTCTACCTTATTGCCTGAGACAAGGTCTCCCATTGGTTTGGAAGCCTGATATTTTAGCCAAGCTGTCTGGCCAGTGAGCTCTTGGGATTGTCCTGTCTCTGTACCCCAGTGCTGGGGTTACACAGGCCAGCCATGTCTGGCTTCCTACATGGGTGTGGGGGTTCAACTCAGGCCCTCATGCTTGTACTCTTACCCCCTGAGCCATCTCCCCAGCCCCCCCATCTGAGCTTTAAAAATAATATTTATTTTATTATTTTTTTTAATCATGTATATGTGCATGTGTCTGTGCCCATGGAGGCCAGAGGAGGGCATCAGATCCCCTGGAGCTGGGGTTGCAGGCAGTTGTGAGCTGCCCAAGGTGGGTGCTGGGAATGGAACTTCATTCCTCTGGAAGATCAACAAGCACTGTTAACTTCTGAGCCATTTTGCTAGCTCTCACTCCCCTGATGTGAATTCTTTTTAAGTCAGATTTACCACAAGCCAAAAGACTGACTGGGATACCATGGTTCTTCAATTTTGCTTCAGATATTGCTTGAAATAAGAGACTTCAGGTTAGGTTTTTGTTTTTTTTTTTAATCTTCACTTTATTATTTAAGCCTAAGGTCATTTGTATTACAAAGAGTTAATTTGCTATTCTGAATAGTAACTTGACTTTGAAATGAAAAGGATGTTATACAGTCTGATTCTGTGGGATGGAAAAACAAATGGCTCCTGGTTTTTCACTGTGTTCCTTTTGTTTCCTATCTAGAGCATTGTTTCTCAGATTGTAAGGTTGGTGTCCCGTGAGAGACTGATTTCACACAGAAGGACTGAGACTGATCTAGGGAAAATGGAAACAGGAATATTGTATTTTTCTTTTTGAATTGCTTTTGTTGAGGTCCAGGCTGAAGCAGAGTCATGTATTGTGTTTGGAGCAGCATGTGGCCATTCTACTTTTAAATAGTTTAAAGGAAGTAAGCCATAAAACCTTTTCCTTTCCACCTGCCACTATGTACTATTGAAGTGTCACCATTCTGTTAAAAATAAAAAGATGGACAAATCCTGGATCAACACACTTCTCAGAGAAGGTTATTACTGTTGTGGAGTGATTTTTAGAATTTTGCATTTTTTTGTGCTTTTAGAGGAATCCAGCAACTCTGTCCTGTTACTATTATCATCTCTCCTTATGCTCTGTGCTTGTCCATAGGGAGAGGGGATGTTTAATGTGATTAAACTACTATGTTTTTCAGGGCATACTATCTAAAATAGCTGTAGCTATTCCCCAAGTAAAATATGAATCACAGACATGAAATACCTACTGCCTAGTGTTCTCAGCTAGTAGTGGGAATCACAGCTGCTGTTGTATGTCAGTGTAGTCACTGCTTACCTTCCTTTGTGATGTGTCGCACATGCAAGGAAAGTATCTTGACTGCT